TTATTCTGAAAGTCCATTGCTCACTGGCTCTGAAAGACAGACAGACAGGCCATGGGTCACAGGAGGGGCAGGATGTTGATCAGGACTGGCTTGGGATGGGCGTCATCACGCGTCTAAACCAATGCGGCGCGTTAGCCTATCAGCGTTGAGATGCTCCTCCTGTCATCACTGACGTCCTGACGTTGAACCAGGAAACAAACTCTGTATCCGTCTGTGTTCACAAGAGCTCCACGATACCTCCTGTTAGTGGAGGCGGACTATGTGTATAAATGTGTGTGTGTAAACCAGACGGTACAAACAATGAATAGACGCTGTACTTACGCCTATGTGACGTTATGTTGAGTGTTGATGAAACTGCTACAATGTTGAGAAAACAAGTATTTTAAAAGTTATTTTCTTGTCGTCTTGTGGAGAGAACTAACTAAACATGAATTCATTACGTAGTGATTTCAGAATCCCCTTTCTGTCGGTTTATTGCCATTAAATCAGTTAGTTTAGTGTTCATACAGCTGTAGTGAACAGCGACGTGTGGCTCACTAGACACAGTGAACACAGCTCCATGAGATCGACGGAGCTCCTCCAGACTGTTATGAACCAGCTAGACGCGTTTAGTTTCCTCATATCTGGACTTCAACACGTGTTAAGCAGAACAATCTGGGGAAGAGTTTCCATTCAATTATAGAGGCTTAAATTAATCATAGAATATTATGTCAACACACATTACTTTTTTTGTTGTGTTGATTTCATAAAATATATATAATATACAATAAATATTATAACTGCTACTGTGTAAAGGGAATACTGCTGCTAACAAGAACCTGATGTGTTTAAAGTGTTTACAAAACAAATGTTATTGCACTTTAGTTCATATAGCAGTACTTTCAAAATAAAAGTGCACAATACACTACTTTTGAATTCATTATTGAATTTTGCCATAACAATGAGATTAATCGCGATTAAAAATTGTAATCGTTGCCCAGCACTAATATATATATATGAGGAACTCCTTGTACTCGTGTTATTATTATTATGATCTGTGTTCGACCTTCGTCTTCATCACCTGAGACCTTGTTTCATGTCACACCAGCTGAACTAACACTTTGATCTACACCGATAAGACCTTAAACACACCGCCGCTCTGACCACAGGTGCATGCTGGGAAAATCACCAGCAGGCAGCAAAACACGGATCCCAGCGTGACCCAGAATCCTTCACTTCACTCTGAGCGTCTAACCGGTGGAGCTTTGGCTCAGACCTAACCAAGTCGATACCAGATCAATAACAGCTGATTGGTCAGACCTGGCAGGCGGGCATCTCCGGTGCTGAGGAACCCCATCGTGCCAACTCGGTAGTTCACCGTGATGACGATGATGTCGCCGCGGTCGGCCAGCTCCTTGCCGTCATACAGAGAGTCCCCGAGGACCGCCACGTCGTTGGAGGCCCCCAACAGGAAGGCCCCCCCGAACAGGTAGACCATCACCGGGAGGTTAGTCGACACTGGCAGAGACGAAGAGGTCGATCATCATCATCATCACCATCGTCATCATCGCCATCATCATCATCGCCAACGTTATCGCCATCGTCATTGTCATCGTCATTGTCATCATCAAAGTCAACGTCAACGTCATCGCTAACGTCATTATTAAAGTCAACATCATCACCAAGTCAACGCCAACGTCATCACCATCGTCATCGCCATTGTCAACGTCAACGTCATCACCAACATCATCGCCAACGTCATCGTCAACGTCATTATCAACGTCATCACTATCGTCATCGCCATCGTCAACGTCAACGTCATCGCCAACGTCATCACCATCGTCAACGCCAACGCCATCGTCAACGTCAACGTCAACGTCAACGTCATCGCCAAGTCAACGTCAACGTCAACATCATCGGCAACGTCAACGTCAACGTCATCTCCAAGTCAACGTCATCGTCATCGTCAACGTCAAGTTAACGTCAACGTCAACGTCATTATCAACGTCAACATCAACGTCATCGCCTAGTCATCGTCATCGTCATAATGTGTATGAGGGTCCTCACAAAGATAGAAATATGTCTGTGTGTGTGTGTGTGTTACCTACATTTCCGTCCCTGTGGAACAAAGATGTTCAGGTAAAGACAGTCATCGCTGCCCTGGGTTTTTGTCTGCAGCAGCGTCACCTGCAGGCAGCGATCTCGATACTTATCAGCCTTCAGGGTTCCTAGAAAACAACAAACGTGAATTAATTTCCATCTTTTATTTTGTTTCTTCAACTGATTAACATCTTAAACACAGAGAGCTTCACATGTGTATCTGTAATAAACACGTTTCATTGATCTGTAGAGCCAGGCTAGCTGTTTCCCTCTGTTTCCAGTCTTTATGCTAAGCTAAGCTAACCACTTTTTTTAAAATATTTTTTTAATAAATCACTTCAGTTCAGAAATCATGAAATTCCTCCAGTTTAACCAATCTGATTGGATGAAGTTAGCTCCGCCCGTTCACCAGGTCTAAACAAACCGTTTAACAGTCCTTCTCATTACATCACACACTGTGACATCACTGCACACCATCGGTGACACGTTAACGAGTGACCTACCGCTCCATCCGGGGTGAGGTTTAGGTTTCTCCCACTTTCCGGGGACGTCAGCGAAGGGGACGCCTTTAAAGACATCCAAGGACCTGAACAGACCCATCCTGTGACTCCGCCCCTCCACCTGCCCCCCTTCAGTCTGCACCACCCCCAGCTACACACACACACGCACACACACACACACACACACACACACACACACACACATTTACAGTATATATATATATATATATATACACATATGGATATGTATATATATATATACATATCATCAACACTGTTAGTTTATTGTGACACTCAACATATTTATTCGATACAGTAAATGTATAAATATGTGATAAAGTAACACTCACCTTTGCAGCTGAGGCTGAGTTCAGACAGACACCGAACAGAAGCACCAATAACATCATCATCATCTCTCTGTCTGTCTCTCTGTCTGTCTCTCTGTCTGTCTCTCTGTCTGTCTGTCTGTCTCTCTGTCTGTCTCTCTGTCTGTCTGTCTGTCTCTCTGTCTGTCTCTCTGTCTGTCTCTCTCTGACTCTCTGCTGGTATTTATACTGTGTTCACTGATGAAACTTCTTATCTTCAACAGCTTTGCTGAAGATAAATTCAGATTTAAAGGAACAGTAGCACCAGGAGACAACCTCCGGTTCTTTTAAGTGAAGTCAAAGCTTCATGTGTTAAAGCTGCATTCTCTCTAGTGTCCACCAGGGGGCGACTCCTCTGGTTGTATAGAAGTCTATGAGAAAATGACTCTACTTCTCTCTTGATTTATTACCTCAGTAAACATTGTAAACATGAGTTTATGGTCTCAATCTCTAGTTTCAAGTCTTCTTCAATACAGCATGATGTTCATTTAGTACATTATGGTCCATTTAGAGTCACACAGACCATAAAGCAGGGGATGCTTTAGGGCGGGGCTACACAGTGATTGACAGGTCTCTACCAGAGACGTACGACGTCTCTACGTCACTCCTCCTCAGTCCAGATATGGTCACTTCCTGTTCACTGGTTAAGAAAAACAAGATGGCGACAGACAAAACTTAAGCTGGAGGATTCAAAACATCCACTTCTTATAAACAGTCTGTGTCACACACACTGTTGTTGGCGCTGTTAGCTGCTAGCCACCGGCTCAGGCGTCGCCATGTTGAGAGCCATGTGGAGTCAATAGAAATGTGTTCATGTCGTATTATTCAGCTTTAAATACTTTACCTTAAAATATGTGAATATTATGTTGAGATAAAAATATCATATGTTCATAATATAATTCTGATCATAATTCTGGTCATTTACACTATGACTGTAGTGGTCTGTAGTGGTCTGTGGTATACTTTAGACCAGAGGTCTTCAACAGGGGGTCCGCGAAATTTTTGGTTGATTAGACAATTTTTTTAAAAAAAGAAAAAAATGTTTTCCTCTAAACATGAATGTGTCCATTATATTAATAGTTCAGTATTGTATGCAAGATAACAGGTATGTTTATACATGGCAGTGGCACTAATAGGCCATCACTCATTTATGTTTCCACATTTATATTTAAAATAAAAACGTCAATCTGAATATCTTGTATGATGATTATCATGCCAATGTTGACATTGGCATTGGTATCAGCTGACAAGGTATGTTTATAAAAGGCAGTGGCACGGCCTCCCTACTCACTGTACCTTGCACGTTTAAAATAACAACATGAAGATATGAACCTGTATTATTTGAATAGCTTAGTATTGAATGCACAATAAAGAGGTATGTTTATACACGGTACGAGGCCCATTTAATATAAAACACATTTTTATACAATATATATAGTCGGGGGTCCCTGCTCCATCTCTATCAGTTTGGGGGTCCTTGACCTGAAACATGTTGAAGACCCCTGCTTTAGACTCTAATATTAGAGGACTGTAGTAGACTGTAGTGGTCTGTGGTAGACTGTAGTGGTCTGTGGTGGACTGTAGTGGTCTAGTATACTGTCCTGGACTCTCTAACTGAGGAACAAACTGACCTCGACCTTAAAGTTGAGTTTTTATCATCAGCCTGAGAAAACACACAGCTGCACACAGACACACACACACACACACACA